AGAACGCGCGGCACGGCGCGATCGTTGCGCAACGCTCGTCGCGGTTCGATTCGCGAAAGCGAAACTCTGTACGGCGTTAAACGCCGGCGGAGCCGCGCCGAGGAATATTCTCGCGCGGAACGTTTCGAGAGTTCAGGCGTTATAAAGCGACGCCGATATAAAGTAGCCCGTATAGTTTACGGGAATAAAGCTGTCTATTGTAATGCGGTGAAATTGAAGCCGCGGGAATAAAATATAAAATAGGAATGCGGCTTATTACTTTCCCACTACTCGCGTCCGCCATTATTACTGTCCTCGCTCCTGACGTCGCACAGTCGCAGACGATCGTTCCTCTCTCGTTGCTTATTCCCCGACTTCTCTCTCATTTTTATACACCGCTCACGGCTCCGTGCCTCCCCGTTCCGGGAATAAAAATCGAGCCGCGCAGCTACCTTCCGATCGACCGGGGGCCCCGCGATTCGAGTCGGGTCAAGCTGATTCTCAAGCTGTGTAGGAAAACGTGCTTTATTGCAAATATCTTACAATGTTATCGTGTTACGTCCAAGCCGAGCGACCAACACCGAACGAACGCGCGCGGTGTTCCTCTCGCGGAACTCGAAGAGATCGTCGGCTCGTGGAACGGTCGCTCGTAACGATTATATATAACGGCGACGTCGGAGACACCCATGACGAACAGATACGCTCGGTCCCTCTTCCGCCTTCTTTCATCCCCCATCCGATCCAGCCGAGTCGTTTCCCGCTAAACTCCGGCGTACTGCTGCACTATCTTCGACCATTCCTTCGGGTAGGATCGTTGAATGTGCGAGAGGACCTTCTTGATCTGTCGTGTTTCCTCGGGGCTACATTGCGGGCAGGAGCCTCTCAAAACCAGCGGCGCTAAACCTGGATAACACAACCGGGCCCGAGTTGAATCGAATTCCGGCGGTAACTTTCTAGAAATTTATCGGTAAAGTCTTCCGGGCGAAACACACGCCGGGCCGCCGGTCGGCCCTCGAAATGCCGATATAAATCCGATCTAAGCAATTCGATGACTCGCCGCGGTCCCGATCACCGTCGAGAGAGTTTCTCTCCGCGAAACGGGGTTAACTCCGGCCGAGGATCGGTTTATCTTTCAGAGTCGAGGGGAATAGAGGTTCCTTCCCGCTTACCTGACCTTCTTCCTCTCCCCCATCCCCCTTATGTTTTCGAGGTAATTGCTTCGCCCCTTCAGGAATTTTTCCTATCCGATATCCCTTCGAATGGAAAGGCGAATGGAAACGAGAATGGAAACGAGAATGGAAACGAGAATGGAAACGAGAATGGAAACGAGAATGGAAACGGCAAGACGATCGATACCGATGGGCGGGAACGCCACGCGCGGATTCGTCTCTGTTTAGGTGTACAGCCGCGCGCGGTCGGGTCTGGCTTAGGTCGCGAACCGATTCGTAAATCCTCGGGAAAGTAATTCGCGTGCGAGCGTGACGAAATTAGCGAGGCGCGTCCTTTTCAGAGATTCCGAGGGAGTCGGCGGTCGCTCGCGGCCTACTACGGTACCGCCTTCGTCGAACGGTTCTAATTACTTTTCAAGCGTCTGCCGACGGGGTCGCACGGCGCCTCTCCCAGGGCGCATTTCAGCTGTCTCCTGAGGTAACGCTGGTCGCTCAAGGCCATGTTCAGCTGCTCGTCCGAGACTCGCGATCTTCCGCTCTGTCCTTCGTCCGATTCTGCCGTGGCCACGCAGACGAGCAGAGTGCAACCGACAAACACCACCAGCTGGAACATTGTTCGAGGCAGTTAAGTAGCCGCTTCGAGTAAATGGCAGTTGCGCGAACGCGCGCGCGCGCGCGCGCGCCAGCGTGGGGACACGCCAGTCTTCGTAACGTAAAGCAATTAACCAAATTCGTGGGGTCAACGAGAGTCAACAACGCTTATCCGGTACACCGAGGACCGTTATAAATCGAAATCCCGGGATTTATCGACGCGTCGGCTGGCTGCCGCGCGATGGGACATTCGCCGGCGAAATGCGGTAAAAACTACCCCTTCAAAAGTATCCCCGAAAACAACGGAAAAGTACACGCGTACTCGAATAAAGAACTGCACCGTAACGTCGCACGATTGTTTTCATATTTATCGATCATCGATGCGACACCTCGCTTTATTTTCAATTGCTTTCGATTTAAATAATTCCAAGTAGATTTTTATTCGCGCCAACAATCGCAGCCGGTAGCAGTCAATTCGTATTCTACATCGGAGAGTAGCCTCTGCTCTCTCCAGCGACACCGACAGCGGCAGCAAATTCTCCTAAACAAGCCTTACACGGACGATCCCGTTCGGAAAATGTTTTCTGCCGCGTTTGGGAGTCAAATGCCCCATGGCGTGCCAGCGGGAGAACGCTTCCGATTTCGTTCGACGCCCCGCCGCGCTCGGGAATTTCTAAAAGTCAACCGATCGACTCGAATCCAGAGATTATTTCAACGCGGGTGCCGCGTGGGCCGTGATAAATGGAGAGGCTCGACAAAGACGCAGTTTATAAACGACGAAAGATTAAGATTATCCGATTTCTCGCATCCGCTCCGACGAACGTCGTGTCCAGAGAAATCCTAGGAATCGGATGGAATCGAATGGGATCGGAATCCCCGAAAGCTGCGTCGCGTCTCAGGGAGGAGATCGGCCGTGCGTCTGTTTACCGCGCGTATTGATCGACGCTCGCGTTAGCCGCGCACCGCTCCAAGTTTCGAATATAATGAACGGACAGGTAAAGGGTCGGGGAACGACGCGCGGCGGTCGAGGATGAAGGGTATCGGTGGGTTGTAACGCGTCCACGGGTTAAGATCGGAACACATGGTCGGCGCGCGGCGAAAGGGGATAAGGAAGGGCGGCCGAGCGAACGGCAGACACTGGCTAAACGCGAGCCCTGGCAAAGCACGCCAAAGCTAACACGGCTAAACAAGCAACAACCACGAACCACGGTGAGTAACGCCGGTATGCGCGCACCTACGACCTCCGTTTGTTTGCCTCTCTCGGTCCGGTGTGCCGCTTCGACACGCTCTCGCGTTTCGTCTCGTCTCGTCTCGTCTCGTCTCGTCTCGTCTCGTCTCGTTTCATTTCGCTGGCATTCGTACACTCGTCCCGACTAACGAGTCGTCTTTTAAATTACTCGCCCCGAGGTCCCCGCGACGACCTATTCTCTTAACAATATCAACGCAAACGATACGGCCGAGCTTTATCGCGTTTGCGGTGAGACCGCGAAATAGAAGCGTCAGAGAGACGCGACTTTTTCGTTTTCACGGTAATCGGCTGCGAAAACTGTTTCGCGGGGCACGAGACGTTCGCTTCGGAATCGCTTCGGATAGCTGCTCGTCCCGGCTTAACGTCCGAATGTTACAAGCTTCGGGTAATTGGAGCGAGCTGGAAAGGTATTACGATCATCGTTGTCCCTCGGGTGTCTTCTTTCGCGAAGCACACCGCGCTGTACGGGACGAATATCGAACAGATTTATACGTTTCCTGTTTGACCTTACGTGTGCAGGTGGCCGCAGTCGACCGCGAACCGACCATCGCTTACGGGAACGACAAATTTACCGATCTTGACATCTTCCCATCTCCGAGCAGCGTGTTCTTTATTTGAAAAATATTCGTAACGCTGAAAACTACGGCGATATGATCCTAGAGTCGCGTACACCGTCTCGGCGGTTACACGGAATCGCTGCTAACGAGCTGGCCAATTAGCTGCTTAAAACCTCTTACTTCTTATTACGGTTCGAATAAAATCCGCGTCTCCTTTTCTACTCCGACGTCGCATTTGCCGTTCGTTTGTTAGCCCCGGCGTGCGTCGGCGAACGACAGAAACAGACACGAGGCTGGCTCGCAAATACAGAGACTGCGGCTGTCGCGATTCCACGTTGCGCGGAGTTTCGATCCAGAGGGGAGACAAAAAATTGCTTTACGCTCCCCTCGTGTAAACGCGATGGGAGCAGGATAGAATTCGAAGAATCGCGTAGTCACGAGAGCCGCGTAGCTTCATCCGAATGATTAGGTTTCGCTTCCCATTGAATTCGCATCACCTTCGAAATTCCCGTCTACCTTAAAGAACCGCGGAATCGATGGAACTCGATTAAAATGCGCGTCAGCCGCAGGTTTTCCACCGGATCTTTACTTTGCCCGGAAACGTTCGACGCTCCGAAAAAGTGTGACGCGGAACGGGTCCGCGGGGCTGCAGGAACACGGAAAATAGTTGGAATTAAATCGACGCCGCTTGACGGATGAACATACTTTGACGAAACGTCCGGAGGCCGGGCAGCGCGCGAGCGTGGGCGTTGGCGCGGCCGCGGCCGCGAACGACACGGTTCCCTCTTTTTCCCCGAGGTCCCTTTGACACGCGGAGCCGTCACTGATACTGCAAAGTTCAATTTTATTTTCGTCGCGTTGCACCTCTCGATTCCATCGGGGGCCGCCTCTAACGATCGCGCTCGTTTTTAAATTACTCGCGTCGCGATCCAGGACACGCGCGGCTCCTCTACGCGCTGTTTCGATTTTTCCCGTGAGCTCGTGGCTCCCTCGGCCGCCCTCGCGCCGCCCTCGCGCCGCCCTCCCGTATCATCGAACGCGAAAATTGCTAGGAAAACCCGTGAATATCGGAGAGCGAATCGGGGCTAATCTCTTTCGGAGGAGAATAACAACGCGGCCGGAAAGTGCGAATCGCGCACCGGTAGACTGGGCGGCAGGTTCGCGTCCCTATGTTTTCGAGGCGCGTTGTCTTCGCGGGATTCGCATAAACGCGCGTCGATAATCGAACGTACACCGATACGAAAGATTCGGAAATCGCAGCGATTCCCGTGACCCGTATACTCGTCAGCTGCTCGGCTCGGAGTTTCGATTTTCCCCGAGGGATGCTAATAATTGGTACGGTTCGGTAAATCACCGAGGGCCCTGCAGGTTCGCGTTGCCGAGATGATTTGTGGGCCGGGATGCGGGCTCGGGTACGCGCGCCACGCAAACCGCTTACTTCCGCGAGCCGACGTGGATTATAAGAATTATTGGCCGGTCTGAATGGCAAATAGCCGTGATATAGATTTTATTGCTGTCGAGCTGACTGTAACGACTGTAACCGTAACGTTCCGGGCTATTACGTCCGAGCGAGACGCTGACGGCTCCCGTCCGCCGCGCCTGCGAATCCTCCGCGCGGCCCCGTTAATTATCGTCACAGTCTATGAATGATAATTCACCGGGTAAACGGTACACGGGAAAACTCGTACCGCTTCCACCCCTAATATTCCGTTATAGTTATTGTCCGAGCCAGCCGCGCCAGCCTCGTTCGCGCGCGCGCGATAAATAATAATTTATCGTCCGTGTACTGGCCGGCCGAGCCGCTCGACGACGAGCGACGCCCCGCGTTGCTCGCAGTTATTAAATTAATTTACAATCGTCTAGTTATCGACTGCCGACCGATAGACAATAATTACACAGCTCGGTGATTCACGCTCGATATCGACAACGCGCGGTGCGACGTATGGATTACGATTTAACGCGCGAAGAGGCTGCCCAACGCAAATAGCAAACACCGCGTCGCGCGGTATTAACGAGCCTCCCGTGCCAGTTGCGAATTGTCCGCGATCAGAGCAAACCGGACACCCGTCGATGACTCGCGGTAATTTCCGTTGACGTTGTCGAGCGTTCGCGGCTCAGAGCAAACCCGCGCCGCGAACGGAGAGACCGCGCCGAGGGGATCGGAAACGAACCAACGGAAGAGCCGAAGGAATCGCACCGATCGGTTTGTCATTCCGCGACACGCATCGGCGATCGCGTCGCGCGAGCCGCTCGATGGAGGTTTCGACCTCGATCGTTCGAGTAGAACCGAGCTGCGCGATAGAATTCTACGACTTGCCGCGATACCGATCGTATCCTTCCCCATTGCTCGCTTTCGAAGACGCGCCTCGTTTCGCGCAATTAGCCCTGACAATTCCATTAGCGCGCCCGCCAATCGAATGCTCTCTCGGAAGATTAGTATCTTTCGTTTCGAATCCGCGGATGTTTTATTCGAGCGCAGCCAGATCTCGAGCAGCTCGGCTGCATTCCGGATGCATGTAATTTCATCGAAGGCTCGGATAATCTTCCGAGCGTCGAATATCGCGAGCCGATATCTTCGTTCCGATTTAACGACTACGAGATCCGTTGCCTCTCGACGTTTATTGGCAGCTTAATACCGCGGAGAATCGAGCCGGCGAGTCGTCGCGTGCTCGAGGAATCACGGGGAACGCGAAAAGAAACTCGAGATTTTATGCCGGTTCGAAGCAGCGCTTCTCGAGAGCGATTACACCGTTTCGCGAGTCGCTCGCTCGCCTCGATGCGAACGGCGAACCGTTACGCTCTATATAATCCGTCGTCGCGGCGTTACGTTATTATGCCACTTTCGATCGCGCTAGATGAAACGGTCCCGAGCTATTTTTCAGAAACCAGCCGCTCCGCGAGTCCCTCGAACCTTCGAACGCGACGCGGAATCGTTCGGCTTTGCGCCTCAACCGGAGAAAGTGCTGTCGAAATGCCGCCAATGGCGCACGGTGCTCGCAGCGCTGCAATTAATCTACTCTGTAAAGCTATTACGGAACCGCGCGATGGAACGGAGCGATTCACGGACCGCCTGGCGTCGGATCGTTTCTTTCCGACCCTTTCCCTCCTCTGTCGCCAGCTCAGCTTTCATTCGAAAACGCTTCTCTGCTCGAACTAATTACTTTCTACGTTATTTACTCGTTGCTCGTACTTATAAATTCCCGAAATTTCTCGCTCCACTAGCCGCGTAACGATGAACATAGAAAGCCCGTAGTCTCCGCACTCGCGTGGCACGCGAGACGTTTAACGGTTTGCTCGCATACAGTTTCGCGTCGAAGCGACGTTTGGCAAATTTCGTATCGCTTTCCATATTCCCGGACAGCGAGGAGATTCGATTATCAACTTTTCCCGTCGCCGAAGCGCGCCGAAGGCGAACGGTACGCCCGCATTCGAAGATACGAACCCCCGTGCTCGTCTCCGTGGAAGTTGTCAGTTTCGGCGAGAGTTTTTTCGCGCCAAGTTTCCGCGGATAATATTTCCGTCGATCAATTAGTTTTCACGGTTGGCGCGCAATCGACACCGGGGGCGAGCCGAAATCGAAAAGTCGGCGTCGACGGGCCACCGAGATTACGGGCTATTCGAGCGCGGAACAATCGGTATTCGCCGCGCGTATATTCCGCCCGAGGAAAAGCTACAGGTACGTGCCCCCGGGAACGCGAAATCCCTGGCTCGTCTCCTAAATATTCAAAGTGCGGATACGGAGCAGTGATCGGTCACGATATCGAATTTGCCGGCGCGCGGGTACGGCATTCCCGAAATGGCCTGTACGATGGAACTGTTATTATCCGAACTAATTGGGACCAAGATGATTCGAACGTATAGTTCCGACAATCGAGCAATGAAACAAATGGGAAAGGGCACGTCGCTGGTGATCGGGTGATCAAGATTCTGTACTGTCGTGTACGCGTGTCCTCGCGCGAAAGGGACCCGAAAGAAGAGAAGAGAAGAGAAGAGAAGAGAAGAGAAGAGAAGAGGGGAAAAGCGAGCGAATCGACGAATTGGCTGTTCCGAGTAGGCACAAAAACGAGGGGAGAGAAAAGCGGCGAGGGACAGGGAGAGACACCCCTTCTCCGGCGAATACTCCGAAACTTTAAATCACCCCGCGCACGTGTACACGGCGTGCGTGTGTATCTACCTGTTGCACGTTCGTCACTCACCTTGATCGTCGAAGCCATGCCGAGGGCTCTCGGTGCGCGGCGCGACGAATCCCGATGAATCGCGCGGCTCCTCCTCGAGCAGCTCGCAGAAAAAACCACGCGAACGAGGAGAGACGAACGAGAAGGGACGAGGAACGGGCCGGCTACCCTGATCGATGGGACGTCGCGCGCTCTCGACCGGAGCGGAACCAGAAGCGAGACTTTCGACGGCGCCGGATAAGTCCGTGGGACGAAATCGGTCTGTTGGTCCGTTGGTCGATCGGTCGGTGTCCTCTCACCTCGAAACCTCGGAACGCACTGGCCCGCGAGGTTCGTCCGTGCTCTTTCCTCCCCTTCTTCGGCCAATAAATACGAAAGTGTGTGTGGCGGACAACGCGACGGCGACGGCGACGGCGACGGCGACGGCGACGGCGACGACGTGACGATATATACCAGCCGGTTCACCGTCTCTCGAAACACCTCTCTGTGCACCGGCTCTCGGTTCGGAGGTAGGGGAAACCGAGACGCGGTGCGTGAGTGTGCGCCGTACACGGTTGCACTTTTCTCCCCTTCGGCCTCTCGCTCGCGCCGTTGCACTTTCGTTATCCGACACAGCCGCTGTGTTTCGCCGTTCGAGTCCCGCCGAAGATCGGATCTCTGCCCGCCTCGGGACGTTTTCCTACCGAACGTTTAACCTCGTTCCCGACCCCACCTGGCGCCTCAAGCCAATTTCTTCTTTTCCTTCTGCAACTTCTCGGAGCTCGTCCGTTCGTTGTCGGCGGCATCGAAAATACAGCTGCGGAATGAGTCTACGAACGCGGGCATCCGAATGAAATGCCGTTAAAAACGGTTCGCGCCCCGTTCGCTTTACAGCCGTAACAGCCGTACGCGTGAGATAGCGAGGAATTATCGTCCGTTATTCGATTGGCTCGCCTAAACCGGACGGTGGGACGCCCTCGATTTTCCGCGGAATCGAACGGGGCCGTTCGAATAACGTTTACGAACTGCAAAGGGGTAAGTGCAGCACCGTTACGATCCGATTTCTCTCGCCCCCTCGTTCCGCGGACCGTACTACCGCGACATTGTGAACTGCCGGCGGAGGCGGAGGGGGCGGGGGCGTGCCGGGAACAGCCGGCTCCTCGTCGAGCACCAAAGGAAAATGGTAAACGACCTTGTTTACGGGGAAAAGGGAGGATATCGCGACGCGAGGCAAAGACATATTTTCCTCGGTGCCTGCCGTTCGTTCGGCGAAATCTCTCCGCCGGAGAAAATCGTGGCTTTTTCGCTTCCTCCGCTCTCTCCACGGTTCGGCGGCGGGGATCCGAGCAACGACGACGAAAAGAAACTACGATTAAGCGACGGATTTAACGGCCGGCCGGCGATTCGCCGCGTCGCGGCGCGCGCGCTCGTCCGGGACGGTAACAGCCGTCGAATTGGCGCGAACGAAAAACGAACGGGGAAAAACCGAACGGCGAGGTGATCCGCCGTGAAATACGATTAAACTGTTCATCGTGGGAGGAGCGGGATCGAGAATGAAGGAAACGCCAGCGGGGAGCCCGAAGCGGCGCAGGCGACGAGGAGAGGAAAGTCCGCGCGCCTCCCTGTATTACACACGGTGCACGGGGACCGAACGGAGCGAGACGGAGCGAGACGGAGCGAGACGGAGCGAGACGGAGCGAAATCGTGCCTTGTATCGATAAAGATTACAACGACTGGATTCGTCGATGTACTTTCGACCGGGCAACTCGAAGCTTTTGCGGCATCGATGGGACGGATTCCTTGTCGAATGTGTTGACCTATCCTCCCTCTCTCTCGCTCTTTTTCTTCCCCGGCTTTTTTATCTCCTCTTTTTCCCCTTTCATCTCCGGACTACCTATCCGTCATTGGCTTCGTTCCGCGTCCCCTAATTTTTTCCCTCTTCCGGCAACGATCCGTCGTCGAGAGCCGTTTGAATAGCCGATCGTTTTCGAGGCGATTCGATCGTTCGGACGGAACGAATTCGCCCGGCCCGGTGGGATGGGCGTGGAACGAATAAAGGATTGATACGGCTGATCGGCCTGTTGGTCGCGCCGCGCGATTCGTCGCCGGGCCGTTTCTCCCGCGGTGAGTTTATCCGACGATTACGTCGCGCGAGAACGCTCCTTTCGAATTCGACGGTTCCGAGGAAAATCGACGGAACAGCGTCGAGTCTCGCGACGGCTGGCGGCGCGTGTTCGACGATATCGCGGCGCCTTGTAAATCCTTCACTGCCAAATAAATCTACCGTCGCGACGCGTCGGCTCGATCAAAGGGACTAGCGGAGTTGGAGCCGGAAGAGGCGGGATCGGTTCCATTTCCGGCCCTTTTACGAACGCTAATCTCTTCCGGGAAAATTCGAATAACTTACCCTTGCAATGCGATTCCTTTCTCGGACAGGGGTATAAATCTCGGTTCCCAACATTCCCCTCTGTCCCCGTGGCCCGCTGCAATTACGTTACTTTCAATTAAATTGCGCCAACTTTACGGAGCCCGTCGTTACGTCCGCTTCATCGCGTTTCGTTGACCCGCAATTGCGTACGATGCCATCGCGATGTCGCCGTCCCTAGTGAAATTGTAAGCGGAATTCTTTCCGAAACCCCACGAGGACCGTCTGTTTTCTATTCAGCGTCATTTCGCATACACCCGAGTCCCTATAAAAATTTTGTACAGAGACACTGCTGCTCGGCGACACGCTGGTAACCCGCAATTTCCGTTGCGCGGATAGTCGAATTTCAGGGTGTTGACAGAGGATCGCACTGTGCGGCGAACCTAAAGGACACCGAACGGTTTCTCCGTGATCGCGCGACCCTTGGATCGCATCTCGGAATATGTACCATCGAATTTCACAGACGCGCTTCGGGGAGTTTCTTCTGGAACCTCCATTTATCCGAACCGTCGAGCGCTCGATTAAATCGGATAATCAAAGTTCCGCCGTGCCCGATAAACTACGGGAAGGGAAAAACAGTCGGCCGTTGTCCGGTGACGCGACGGGCTCTTTCGGCCAATAAAATCCTCGGAGCCCGGCAACCGAAAATTCAGGTCGATCGACCCTGCCGGGAAAAAACCTTAACGATATACGTACGTCTTCCACCGTTAACGCGCCCGGCGGGCAGGGCCGAGCGAGAGCGCTAATGAAATTAAGCTCGGAAGAATATTGGCTGACGCGGACAGAATTTCGGGAGAGCTCGACGAGATCCAACGGTTCCGAGGCGATTGCCGAGCGCCGCTCCGACTGGAAATCCCAAGGTGAAAGTTCACTGGAACGCGTTACGCTCCGTCGGCTGCGCGCCGGCGAGCGCGCACGAGAGAAAGTAGGAAAAGGCGGATTCGCCGTTGTTCAATGGACACGGAGCAGCGCCGGTTTCCCGGAAACGATCCATTCGGCCGTTCACCTCGGGGATAAGCTACGATAAAGAGCGGACGACAGCCTAAGGGTACGTTTACGCTACCGCAACAAGTCTTGCGCCGCGTTCCGCCACGGTTTTCGCGTTCCCGCGAGAACCCAGACGCTTCGACGCTTCACACTGATTTCGGGCTTCTCGAATGTCTTTTCGGAACTCGTCGTAACCGTCTCTCGAGAAGAATACGAACAACTAAAACGCGCAAACAGCCTGACGAGCGTGGGACCGCACGGGCCGAACCAGTTGTATCGCGAGAATTCAACTGGTTGCAGTGCTCGGGAAAGGAGCACGGCTTCTCGGGGAATTTTCAGCCTCGGAATTCATCGAAATCGCGGGAGGGCCGCCTTTCTTTACGCTTTCGGCGACAATCGATCTGCGTTGACTCGCCCCTTTCTCCTGTCGCGTGCCGCTTCGAACAATCGCCCGTTTTATCACGGATACATATTCGATCATTCGTTTCGTGGAACGAGAAGAATTATTTCGCGTACTCGTTCGTTCGATAAGCAACGCGTCTTGCCATTCCGCCGGAAAGAACACGATCGTAAAGCGACGGTATTCCGTGTATTCTCCTTTCCTCCGGACTGCGATTGCCGTGACCGATCGATTGTTTTGAAACGGTGTCGCGCACGGTACACGCATTAACGGCACACCTTCGAGAAACGAAACGTTTGCGAATCTAATTGCAACGCTAGGAATCGCCTCTCCGATTGCGTGGAACGTAACACGTAAACTTTCTTAAGTAGCGTGCGCCTCGCGTACCGGGTCAAGGATGGTTTCTCTGTCAATGTGTTCACCGCGGCGACGAGCCGTGAACGACGGCACAGGCTCGTGCATGCTTAACGGGAAGAAAAGCGAGTCGACGAAGCTAAACGAAAGTAAAGTTTCGACGAGCGATCTCGACGACGAAAGACAACGTGTCGATTCGTTCTCCGAGTCGAATAATCCGGTCTTTCCGTCATCGATGCGATCACGCGCGTGTCCGATCGATCGGCGAACAGTATTCGCTTGGCGAACCTCGTCGTGACACGATCGAATCTTGCTCGCCCGTTTCTTTTATTCCTTCGCTGACATTCCTGTCATGATCTGACTAGATCTGACTGAAATGATCTAGCTTGCAGCTGTATCGTAATCATCGCTAATCATCGCGCGATCGGAGACGTTTACGCATACATTCGAGCCGAGGCCGTCGCAGTTTCGAGTATCGTTGTTCTCTCGCGAGAAGATATTTCGGTATTTCGTTTATTCGTCGCCTTGACTGTTACACTCGGAACTCGCGCTTTGTTCCACGCGACCTCAAGGAGGTGTCTAGCACGGATTGAAGACGGAACAAACCCACGAGCGTGTCATACTAAACTATCTTAACGCGGAAACTTTGGATAGGTGCAGGGTAGTCGGTAATGCGACTATTAATGCCGCTTCTATCCTAACACTGATGGATTTCAATGGTACGTCTGGTCTAGGCACGTATACACGCGTTCTTCGGTAATCGCGAGGCTCGATTCAATGGACCTAACGATGGTCGCCTATCGTGGTTCGTATAGAACGCAGGTATGCACCCCTACACGGAAATCGTGATTTATTGCCGTAAACACTTGAGCCGATCGTTTGCCAAAGGGCTTAACAACGCGATAATTATCGGCAGCCCCGTCGAACGGTTCGGTGCCGATCGTTGGAAAACATTCAAAAGACGAACCTTTGATCGGTGAACGGCTCATTTGGCACGCATCGGTGTACGGCTGGCTACTCGTCTATCTGTGTCTCGATAGAAATAAGCTAAAGTGGCTGTGTGTGATTAACGGAATCTATGAACCGGTAACAACGTACCGAGCTCGCCTGACCCGGATGCTCGAGATTTCCTTTTTCTCCAGCGTTCGAGTGCTTCTTCAAATATTGTATCTTATCGAACGATCCTCGGGAACGCGGAGAAATTCGTCGGGACGCGGCGCAGAGATAATATTCGACGTACCGCGACTTTGAAGTTTTATTTCGTTCGCGAAAGTGTTCGATCGCGAGCGCTGTTCGGTCCCGATTCCCGCGACGGAACGGAGAGAAACGTTCCCGTTAGTCCTGGCTGTCTCCTCGTTCCCCGTGCGACCCGGTCGAAATAAAACCCGGCGAAGATAAGACAACTTGATCGCAGTCTCGCGAACTGTATTACGAATAGCTGGAAGGCAACTGTCCGCAGTAGATATTGCGCGAGACCCATTTCCAGTTGTTAAACCGCGCTAACTTGCTAATGTAACTCAAATAATTAAAGTGACGTGTACAGCCTCTCCACTCTGGGGTCGCAGAGACAACTCGGGGGTCCTAATGTGGATGGAAGGTGTAACACGCGGAATTGCCGAAAGGGCGACAAGGAGAGCGAAAGGGAATTTCAGCCGCGCGTAATAGTGCTGTCTGAGTAACGTATGCTCGAAACTAAACTGCTCTATCTTGGACGAACTTCGGTCCTCTGACTTTCCCCTCGCCGCCTGAAAACATTCTCGCCGACGAACTGAAACGTACCGATCACTTTCTTCTACTTGCGCATTCAATTTTCCTTCTTATCCGAATATAATATGGAACTTTCGTGGTACGGTTTCCTTTATCGGTCGAACGTTTCCTTTCTTTTTTTATTTCTTGCTAACTTTAACCGTGCAAGCGATCTGTATGTGTTTACTCGTTATGTAAATAACGGATGGTGATTAATAATTTACTGAAAATATAAGATACCGGTAGTCGATCTTTAAACTACTCGTTTAATTAGCTCGTGTACATCGATTTCGTTTACCGCTCAGTGAACTCTTCGTTCTTTGTAGGAAACTTGTTATTTTGTTTTATACGATAATATATCTATTCGCTTTGGTATTATTATTATTATTATTATTATTATTGTTATTATTATTATTATCAATATTGTTATTAATTACTACTACCGTTTGGAATATTGTCGTTTATAAGAGCGTTCGATGTTGTTGAAAACGCTGTTGGTAGTGCCATCTGCACGATGCATCGTGAAACATTCTCACGCGAAACAATACAACTACAGGGACACGCGTAACGCGACAATGGCGACCTGAAAGTCTGGCGTGCGTTTCCTTGCTCCGTACACTTTTGACATCTCGCCAGTGTTTACCGTATTCTTTTCGCAGATTTTTGACTGTGAAATCGGTTCGTGCTACCGTAAAATATGTGACTGGTGAAGTGGAAACGCGAGAAATAAGAAATCGCGTCGAAGCAACCGTTAAAGCTAGCTAGGCGCACGACACAATTCAATGGTTTGGTCCCTGCCGAAAAAACAGGAGAGCCATGTACACATCGATATTTTGTCAATTATAATGCGCTGGTAAGTACGCAAATTGCCCATGTTCTTTTACCGCGCGTTTATCTGAAAACCATACAGATTTTTCTCGGTATCGATAAGCATAGCTAGATGGTTTGGAAAAATGTGTAGGTTAGGTTGGTCTGAGAAACTGGCATCGGCGGATTTTATTTTGCTCTCTTTTCGAGGGGTTGCCTATTTTTTTTACGTTACTTTTATCGCTACGAACATACTGTCGTTTCAGAACACGTATTATTTTTACTCGTACGATTGTCGTTTCGTAAAGGCACTCCAAAGTATCCCTTATTTATATTTACATACACAAATATACCACCTTCCAATGATACATGCACTCGTTCATCTGTATGCAGTCATAAATTTCCAATTATCTCTTGCTCTTATAAATTGTTGAGCTCCAAATTTATATCAAAGATAACAACAGCATTGCATTCGTCCAGCTTCTCATTCGAATGCTTTTCTAATTGAAATATTCCACGCGTTATTGCGGACAAAGAGTAGTTTCTTTGAAAATATTCTTAAGAGTAATATAACGAGACTTTGCAGCGTAATTACGCGTTCCTTTTCATCTGTAAATATCAGTGGAGCAGCAGAAGAGACTTGTCGCCAGAAATATTGTGGTGCTGATACGGCATGTTAAAATAAGGGAAGCGAACGAAGGAAATGAGCCACAATATCGCAGGCATGCCACCCTTTGCGAGGATGCCTTTGGGGGGTATGGGTATGGGTGTAAATATGGGACCTAGCGCTCCCCATCCTGAATCTTCTGCTCACCCTCATCCACCACCGCCGCCACCTGCTGGTGCCAACCCCAAAAAGAAAAGACGTACAAACGCGAACGTTGCTCAGCCACCTCCACAGCAACCTCCATCGGTGCAGGTAACTTGATTTTAATTCCCGTGTCTCTTTGTCCAACTTGTAACCTTACAATGTTCTTTACCATTGCAAAAATATGTTTTTAGGATTTACTACCTCCACCTTTAACCGGATACGGAGATACCATAGTGGCAAGTAACCCTTTTGACGATACACCACCGCAGACCACTCAAACTCCTATGATGCACGGCGGACCACCCCACATGCATCCCCATCACCCGCATCACATGGCCGGTCCACCCATGAGAGGCATGAGTCCGTTGACCTCGATAGGCGGAATGAGTCCTATGATGCCTCATAACATGGGTAGTATGAGTCCAATGGGAAATTCGCCCATGACGAATCATATGAACCACATGGGTGCTATGTCTCCTATGAATCACGCGCCGATAGGTGGCATGAGTCCGATGAACAATATGGGCCCCAATATGCCGCCTGGTTCGATGAACACTATGAATAATCATATGAATATGAGTCACATGGGCAATTCTCAGCTCAGTGGTCCACCTATGGGTAGTCCGATGAATAATATGAGCAGTGGACCAATGGGTAGCCCGATGAATAACATGGGACACAGTATGGGTAGTCCCATGGGCGGCCCGTTAGGATCTCCTATGAATACTATGGGAGGTTCCAATCATATGCCTAATGGACCGATGAATATGAACAATATTAATAGTCATATACCACCGAACAGCCCGTTAAATGGGCCCTCTATGAACAACGTGAACAGTCCGTTGGGGCACAATGGATCTCAACCTCATCCAAATCACATGGGCAACAACCTTAATAATTTAGGAAGGCCCATGAACGGACCTATGACTACTATGAGTTCTATGGTTACTAATAACATGAACATGAGCGGTCCGAATCAAATAAACAACATGAACATGGGAGGACCACCGATGAATAACATGTCCAATATGAGTATCAGTCATCACAATCAAATGAGTCACATGGCTGGACCAATGGGCACCATGTCCAGTACTATGGGTGGCGGTCCACCGATAGGTCATCCTATTAATATGGGAGGTTCCATGCCGCCCCATGGATTTCAAGGCCCACCAGGGATGGGACCAAAACCAATGCCGGTTTCTGCAGGAAAGGTACAGTTGGATCTGTTACCGATACTCTCGTCGACTTGTACCGGTGAACGCTCCACTCGGTAAATAACTTGACGCCAATTGAATTCTATTACAGATATATCCTCCAGATCAACCAATGGTGTTTAACCCACAGAATCCTAACGCTCCGCCTATTTATCCTTGCGGAGTGTGTCATAAAGAAGTGCACGACAACGATCAAGCGATTCTTTGTGAATCTGGTTGTAATTTTTGGTTTCACAGGTATCCTCGTGAATACATTGTCTCAGACACAATAGTCGAGCAATCGGCTACGCAGTTATGGTATGTGAAATGAACATTTGTTTCAGGGGATGCACGGGATTATCGGAAACCGCCTATCAATTACTAACGGCGGAAGTTTACGCGGAATGGGTGTGTGATAAGTGTTTGCAGTCGAAGAACATACCTTTGGTTAAATTTAAACCATAACACTTCTTGACACGTCGTATATGCGACGCACGAGTGACTCTTTGTTAGCGTTTACACCTTGTACACGCACATATACGCGTGCGGTTGCACACACGTATACACATGCGATATACACTAGTGCACGGGCGAAATCGTGCATATAATATAAACATGCGCTGTTTGTTAATATCTTAGCTTTAACTTGTTGAAATATTAGGGTATCATTATGAGTGGTATCGACGATCGAAATGGCAGGAGCAACGTACGTTTGAAAGTTTAAAGAAATTTTGAGTCTGTTCATGACAAGTGGATTCGTCCGAATCAAAAATTTATTTATAACACGGAGAATTCGAGAATTTCTAGACGGTTAATTTGTTTTCTGTTATCGTTAGAACATGAAACATATTAAAGAAACAAGTCCAGGAGGCATGCAC